TCCAGCTTCTGGAGGCCACCTGCATTCTTTGGTTCATGGCCCCATCATTCATTTTGAAGGCCAGCCTCATGGTCTCTTCCAAGCTCTCAATCTATGGTCCTCCTGTTTCCCCTCTTGCAAGGACTTTCAGGATTCCTTTGGGACCACCCAGAATTACCAGAACGTTCACCTCAGCTCAAGATCCTTCATCGCATCTGCAAAGTCCCCTTTGCCTTATAGGGTAACATACTTACCGGCTTCCAGGATTAGGATTTGGATATCTCGGGTGAGGGGCATTATGCTGACTAAAGCAATTTGTTTGCAAACTTGACTGTGCTTTAGAATCACCAAGGAGCTTTAAACATTGCTGCTATCTCCTGTGTACTCTAAAACCAATAACATCAGAAAGTCAGGCAGCGTGACCCAGGCAGCAGTCTTTTTTAAACCTCTCCTTATAATTTCAATGTACCGCCAAGGAGTAAACCAAGAACCACTGGTTTAGTTTTCGGTTGCAGTCACATACCCTTTACCCCTACCCCTAAGTTTGCTACACACGTCTGAACACTAATGGGGACATCCTACTTACAGAATGGTGCTAATGCATATAGCGAGCCTTTAGCCAATAGCAAAGGACTCCAGTGGTTTTAAAATTACTTTCACATATAGACTAGAATAGTCTGATTGTGCAGACTGCTACAGAGACAAGTAAAGGAAAAGTGACTCCTTGTAAAAGCAAGTTGCCCCATTGTATAAATGTGCCACAATTTCTTTATCCTATCGTCTATTGATGGGCATTTTGGTTGCTTCCATATCTTTGCTATTGTGAATAGTGAGTACTGCAATAAACACAGGGCTGCATATGTTTTTTTGAGTTAGTGTTTTGGATTTCTTTGCATAAATACCCAGGAATGGAATTGCTCGGTCATAAGGTAGTTCTATTTTTACTTTTTTGAGGAACCTCCACTATGTTTTCCATAGAGTCTGCACCAATTTGCAATCTCACAAACAGTGCATAGTCCCGGGGATGTGAAATACATTATGGGAGATATAATCAATAATGTTATAAAGATTATGTAGGGTGTCAGATGGGTACTGAACTTACTGAAGGGATCACTTCATTGATTGTGTAGATGCCTGACCATTGTGCTATACACCTGAAGCTGATATAGAATAATATTGTCAACTATAATAACACACACACACACACACACACACACACACACACACACACACAGGGGTGCCAAAAGATGTATACAAGTGGATACTTTGGTCAACGTTTCTCAAGCAGTAGTTCACCATAATCAGAAGTGTCTGGACGCTGATGGTAACCACTGTGAGCATCTCTTGTAATTGCAGAAGTCAAACATGACTTGTATTCATCTTTTGTAATTGGTATATATTGAATATTACAATTTTAATACAGTTTTGCTTTTAAAATGTGTACACATTTTTTTGTCACCATGTGTGTGTGTGTGTGTGTCTGTGCCTGTGTCTGTGTGTGTATAGTATAGTAATGGGATGTAAAATATAGTCAATGGTATTGTAACAACGATGTACAATGTCAGAAAGATAGTAGACTTGCAGGGATTACCACTTTGTGAGGGATGTACATGTCTAATCACTATGTTGTTTTATATACCTGAAACTAATATAAAAAATTTTTTTAAAAAAGGAAAAGCAAGTTGCCCCTTACAAGGGAAGCTGTTTCTTATCTATTCCATTCATGTAACTCAGCAGCTCTAGGAACATTATAGACTAGAGATGGGATTTAAGTAGAGACCCTGAATTACATGTTAAATCCCCATTCGATAAATGCCTTGTACATAGTAAGTGGTCAGTAAATGTTGATGATTTGAAGATTCCCTTTTGCCCTGGAATTAGACATCAGTTTTTTTCAAGAAGATTTTCTTGTTTTACATAAAACCGAGTTAAAAACTACCATTAAGTCAGCATAGTTCCATAAGTTAGTTTCACACTGGATTCTGTGTCTGCCTCATTTCAGTTCCTTTGAAGTCTGAGTTTTATTAATTGGTAAGCCTAGCACCTACCACAGGAAAGATAGAAGTCATCTCTGAATGAATATGTAAGAGCATACTCAGCCTAGAGCCTTAAAATGTCCCCAGGCATCCTTGCACTGTGATACAGCCATGCTACTCAAGCTGTAGGATTCGGGAACACTACATATCCCAGATAGGCAATATATAGACTTTTGCAGTGCTTTCCTAATGTTTTTTTGAAATTAATGAGACTCCCCTTTGTTTAAAATGAAACTCTGTGGTAGATGAACAAAACCTTCATGTCCATTGTTTTGGACCTTACAGATTTTGCTTCATAGTGTGTGTGTGTGTGTGTGTGTGTGTGTATTTCATCTATATATATATAATTTCATATATATATGAAAGAGAATGTTTATCCAGTTGTATATAAAGAAAATTTAGATTTTGAAGTGACTAGAAGTTTTGAGAAGAGTAGTGATATCTTAACTGTCTACCTTATGTCTACTTTTGAACTTTTAATGTTCATAATCATTATTAATAATGATATTAATAAAGTAGAAATCAGTAGAAAGGTCATGTGTCCTGAAAGTCATAAAATTGTGTATTCGAAAAGGCCAGCTGACGTAGCTTTCTGCCTTGATAGCCTGGAGACTGGCTCATTGACAATAGCCTGGAGTTTTCAGACCAGAGTCTGATTGTGCACAAGACTAAGGTAGACACCAGAGCACCAATTTATTAATCCCAGCAAGAATGATAATAGCCACACAAAGCATAAATACCATGGTTTGCATAACAAATGCATAACCTCCTTGCATTTAAGCTACATGTAAAACCAAGAAATAGTTACAAGTCCCTTTATTGATTTACTCTGATAAGTCACTCCACAAAGACCGTAAACATTTTAAATCTGTCCTGTCAGCCCCTTTTCTATATGGGAATCAGCAGTTTGCTTGGAGAACCTGGAAGCAGAATAGTGGGAGCTAAATATCTCTAGTGTTTAGACTTATTACCCATAGTTTAATATACCAATTGGGTGATAGATATGATGTTACCGATGAGACTAAGACTTCAAATTGTGTTAACTCCACACCCTTATTTCCTTTCTCCATGCTTAGAGTACACTTGAAATAAACCTTGGTAATGAGACCAGAAATAGTTAAAGATGCCTGAAGTGTGTTGGCCCAAACTACTTCTTCAGACAGTGCTTCAGGGAAACCATCACCATTTCCCCCAATTTCCCTGGTCTTCAGCTCACCCCTACTATTCACATTTCTTTTTTTACACTTGCTAATACATTTTTTTCAGTTTATTGTCAAGTATGACTGGTCATGGGCCATTTCTCTGTTGGGAGACTTTGTATTTTATGTTGACTTCACAGTTTAACTCTTAGAAGGCAATCTGCTTTCCTCATTTTGGAGGGGTTTTTTGTTTGCCTTTTGAGGGGGGCGTGGGTCATAGGGCGGTTTTAAAGTTTGTAAAAAAATAAAAAGGGTGTTTATTTAGTGTCTTACTCTGTACTAAATGCTCTACCAGTCATGTTTCATATGGTACGCAGTTCATGCTGAAAAAGCATTACAAGTTGATATTACATCTCACTTTAAAGGTGAGCAAATTGACATAAAGAGATTAAAGTGAGCCTCACAGCTTGTAAGTAGAGAAATCAGTATTTTAATCCACGTTTGTCTGCGTCCAAAGCTCTTATTTTTTTCTGCAGTGCTATTATTTCTTAAGAGAATATCTTCAGTACTTGAATACTTTTCTTTTGAAACTTCTAACACTAAGAATATTATTGTTCAACAAAGATTAGCGGCATCTCTTTTGGTAATACATTTTACATTTAAAAATCAGTGATGTATATGAAGAAAATGGTGTTACATTTACTTAATACTCTCCTGCCTTCTGTCATACTGGTCTAACATAAGAATGGATGACTCTGTAAACACTCTTTGTCGAACAAAACTTACAGCTTTTTCAAGGTCAGATCAAGTTGTAAATAGAAGACTTTCATTTTTTATTAAAAATTTAAAGTCTTTGTAATCTATGTAGAACTTCTAATGAAAGGAAAGGGAATTCTCTATTTAGCTGAAAATACTTGCCACATAGTTTCACCTATGATAATATTCTCGATCAGACATAAGTACAAAAAATGTTTAAATTTTGTTCCATTATCTAAGTGTATTGTCATAGAGGCATTAGCTCATCAAAACAAAACATCCTTATTTTTTCCCCCTTTTACTTAGGTTATCTAAAGAGTACAGAAGTCTAAGAAGCCACATCTTAATCTTTCATAGACTATTGGAAGTAAAATTGAAGTAACTTTATAGTCTCACGTATTTACTGCTTTGCAAATTTGATATTAGAAGTAAATACCTAAGTTGGGTGCTTTAGAAGGGAAGGGAAGAAAAAGTCTCCAATGTTGCAAGATTAACAGTGAGTGTAAAATGCATTCAATCCTAAATTCAGCTTTAAACAAATATCAAACTTTTCCTCATGTGGTCTGAGGTTTACGAATAACCAATATCTCTGTATTTCACAACAATCTCACTTTTAATCAAATGTAAATTTGTTATAATGGCATCCATTCATTCATTTTGTTTACTTTTTGATGAAATAAATTTTAGTCATTTCTCTTTTTACGCTGCCAACATTATTTGCTATTCATAGATGTTCTGTCTTCAGTAAGGTCTATCAAAGTATAAAGCTAGATGACTATTTTTCTTTCCTTTAAAATGGAATGGTCTTTCATTATGCAGTATTCTTAGGTGAATTCTCTTGTTTAAGAAGCCAGAATACAAGAGAGTGCTATATTAGTGTATTATTCTCACAACAAACAAGCACTGTTCTGTTGCTACCTGCTTGGCCATTGTTTCTGATTGTGTGTGCTTTGCAGTGGTATTTGGATAGTTTCCTGCTCTCTGCCAGCACAAAAAGGCATTTCTGTTACAATGGCCCCTAACCACACAATGACGGCATTAAGGATTTATGTGGAGGTTTCATTATTTTGTCCTCTTTTGTTCCTTCCAGGATGTCTTCCAAGCGACCAGCCTCTCCGTATGGGGAAGCAGATGGAGAGGTAGCCATGGTGACAAGCAGACAGAAAGTGGAAGAAGAGGAGAGTGACGGGCTCCCAGCCTTTCACCTTCCCTTGCATGTGAGTTTTCCCAACAAGCCTCACTCTGAGGAATTTCAGCCAGTTTCTCTGCTGACGCAAGAGACTTGTGGCCATAGGACTCCCACTTCTCAGCACAATACAATGGTAGGTTTCTCAAGGTCTATTGTGCCTACACTCACTTTTTGACCAGCCTAGTCTCCTAATAGTTTGGCTTCAGTCCTCTGCTTTATAATTATCATCTACTTAATAGCCACACACAAGATACACCCCTAACATCTTAGAACTCTTTATAAGGAAATTCATTCCAGTAAGGAGGATAAGATATGCTATTTGTTTGTTTCTTTTTTGTTTTTTTACTAATTTTGCTTTTGAGACATCAATTTAATTAGAGGGAAAAGACGTGTAAATATAAGAATAATGTTAAAATAAAGTAACACATTTAAAATTAGCAGGAGAGAAAGATTTCATTCTATTTCAAATAAAATGTTTTTTTTCCAGATAGAATGACATATAGTTTGAACATTTCAACCATAATAAATCAATGTTTTTCATTTTTTTGACTGGCTGAGATTGGATTCCAGTATTCTTTATAATACTGGGAATTTTAGAGACTATATTTCGTAGACACTATAGTTTTCTAACGTGACCACAGTAATTTCTAGTCCCATTCATGCTGTTGTTTGGGTAATTCAGTAATTCCCTGATGCATCCTATTCCAGAATTTGACACTCAGGATAATTTTTCTGGCCCCTCATCCTGGGGTCTGGATCACTGGGAAACTGTGGTTTCACAGATGAGAAGAAAGAAGACAGCATAGTATCCTGGCTGAAGCTTAAACAGCAGACACATACACATAAGGCTTTTAAGTCGGTCTTAGGAACTTAAATACATAGAATCAGCATGTCGGCAAGGTGGCAGGGCACTTAGCTGCCCAAAAAGCCACTCTCCCCTTTCAACATGGCTGCTTTGGTGGATGTCACATTTCTATGACATCTTCTCCTCTTCATCTTTAGGGATGCCATTAATTTGAACTGGATTACACCATCAAACATGTTTCATCCCACGTTTTCATGCCTTTAAAGACAGCTCTGATTCTGTTAAATGCCTTTTTATTGCTTTCTTTAGGAAAGTTTTACATATCATAAATGTGCTTGGTACTATAATACGCCCACATGTTTATGTTGTTGCATTACTATATGTGTAGTAAAATCAACAAGAAGAACCAGATATCTTCTAATAGCTGCGAAACAGATACTATTCTTTGATATCCATGTTAGATTTTAATACTCTCATTCAACATTTTAAGCCTTATAGGTAAAAATTTCCCTGGGTAATTGATTCTGTGCAAGATTTTTCCACCAAGAACAGTGGTATAGCTGACTCTTATGTAGCATGTATATAGATGGGGTGCTTTAAGCACATTACTTATATTAACTCATTTAATTTTCACAATAATTCAGTGAGGTATTATTAATCCCATTTCACAGACGAGGGAACTGAGGCTAAAAGAGAGGTTAAATACCTTGCTCCAGATCACAGCTAAGAAGTGGGAGAACCAGGGTTTTACCCAAGCAGTCTGGTTTTGGCGTCCATGCTTATAAACATTATAAGCGCTTCACAAGAGCACAGGCATATTTTACTTTTTGATGATCTCTTATTTGGCAGGTTAAATCATACTATCCATAATTTCTCCCTTCTTCCTCTACTGTGAGTTCATGTTAGTTATGGGCAATGATATAATTTTTTGGCCTCCTCTCAACAAAGGTTAAACTAGGAAAAGAAAGGGGAAAATGGGAGTACACAGTTCAACAGGGTAAGGATGCCAGGCTCTCCACTTGATGTTTCATCCCTGCTAATGCCTTTGCCCTCTCAGTATTTTGATCATTGACTTGTCTCAGGGAGTACCCTATTGAAAGCGCTTCTTAGTTTGGTTTTCTTGTGATGCTATTATAAACATAAACACACAAATTTGACAGAGTGGTTATAAATAGTTATGACTAGAAGAAAACCACAAAGATAAAGGGGAGACTATTTTAAGTATACTCAAGGGTGAGTATAAGAAAAGTATATTGAATTACATACCGTAGTTGGCATTAGGGGGTTGCTGTGATGCAGGATGTTAGTGAAAATGAAACCATTCAGTTTGTAATGGAGTATTCAGTTCAGCTAAATAAAAACTATGAACTGCCTACTTTGTACCAAGTTTTTTTTTTTTTTTTGGTATTGGGTACTATGGAAATAGATTTAAATAAGACACAACTCCTTTCCTCAAGCAACTTTGCCTGGAGCAGAAATTCTTAACCAACGTGTACGGATAACCTGAAAATAGATGGAGAATTCTGTATGTGCACACGTGTGAGTAAGAATATGGCTTTTATAGGATTTTTAAGTAGATCTGTAACCCAAGAAGGTTAAGATCTGCTGTTCTGGAAGTTAATACAGTTTGGATACAAATGATTTAACTTAGTTTTAGTGGCATCAGCACTAATGTTTTATCTTCCTATATGTGTAATTTGTTTCTAAATTTGCTTTTGCCTCAAATGTTTCTTGATCCCACCAGCTTTTCATCTCTTTATTCGGCAGTTGGAAGAGTCTCCTGTATGATCTCAAATTTTTAGCCTCTTCTCTTTCCAGCCTTTGTTTCATCTTCCACTAGCTTTGCATGCCTGAGGAATGAGTTGGATTATTTATTCCACTTTGGAAGCTAATGTGTGTCCTTGTTGCTTACAGGATTTAGTCTAGAACTCTGTGTAGACTAGCACCAAACACTGGCTTTAGTTTCCTCTCGTGCCACATTCTACCATGGACCCAGTGTCCCAGTCATGCCAAGTTTTTGATACCTATTCATAAACATTCCAAGTAACCTCTAATGAAACAGCTTTATTATTTCTACCTAGAAAACCTCCCTCTCTTTATATTTTACCTTCCTGGTGAAATGTGTATCTCCCACAAGACTGAGTTCAGAAATTGCTTCTTCTTAGATGCTTTCACTGACGTCCCAAGGCAGAATGGTTGCTGCATTATTCTTTTATCCATGACACTTGTTTATATGTTTTCTCATGGCCTGTATTATAATTTATGTGTTTACATGTCTGCTTTGCTATGCACTGTATTTCTCCTTGAAGCCACAGTCATACACACACACACACACACACACACACACACACACACACGTGTATATATTTCCGATACCCAGCATATAATACTTAATTTTATGATTACTGATTAAATGCCAGAATATTCATGGTGAATATGCTGGTTTTTCTATAAATTTTAGAAATAAAAAGGAATCTACTATTGTATATTCAGAAAGCAGAAAGTGTGTCATAATAGCTATGATATATTCAGCTGTTAAGCTGATTAAGATATATTTTGCCCATTTATCAAAATGATTGAATATATTTATAAAATTGTTATCCAACACAAATACTTTATTATTTTTTTGTCTGGATACAAGGCCATTGTCATACTCACACAACATGTCCTTTTATTTCAGTAGGAAAATGCATTCACTATTTTTTTCCTATTCAATATCCTTGAAAACAGAGAGAATGTTGCATGGTCTTTATATCATAGAGTTCGCTTTAAGGGAAAAAAATCTGGTTTCCAGATTTCATTGCCGATTTCTCTGACATTCATGCCCCATTCTTAAATAAAACAGAGAGATATTGAGAAGTCTACATTTTGTTTTGCCCACATAGTTTAGAGAGAAAGTAGAACTGATAAGTAATCCCTGTAATGACGGCTTGAAGTTATAGAGATGCTGTCAGTATAAAATATAAGTTGGAAAATATTTTCTGAGGTAAAGTTCTGTACACTTCATGACTGTTGCCATAGAAAGACTTTGAAGACTCAGGATCTTCTCTTCATATTCAGGGTATTCCAGTGTTAGCATTTGGAATTGGGTCAGATAAAGATGCAGTTCTTCCTTTCTGAAGTTGTGTTTGTTGCCTTAATATTTTGGATAAACTAAGTGCATAAGAGATACTCTCAAACAGCTATAACTGATAGGAATACTATGAGTCCTTCTATTCTTGGAAAGTTGTTACTATTCAAAGTACACTATAGATGAACTTTACTAAGCAAATTATATATATATATATATATATATAAAATTCTGTAAGATTTCTAATCAATGTAAGTTTGAGACACAAATATTTGTATGTATGAAAAAGACTGTTGGTTCCTTCTCTGAAGCTCTCATAATCTTGTGGAAGTAAGAGCATATTTTGATCCTCATGTTATCTTCAAAAAAAGTAAAAGGCAAGGTTGGCAAGTTTAATTCTGGCATGAATGGAAGGGCAGTCCTGAGCTTTGTTTTTATTGAAGGTCAGATTTACTCTTCTCCCCACCCCACCCCACCTTTTTAAAATATGGGTTTGAAGACTGTCACTTCAGTTTCAGAAACAAGCAAGCATCACTATAATTTCTGGCTCATTTTTATAATAGTTCTAATATGGATGAATTTATTTTATGATGTAAAGAACTATCCAGAATATGTCCTCATGTCAATCAGCATGATTATTTATGAACACTAGAAGGGAATAAAGTCTGAGGAGAATAAAATAGCGTATTAGATGCAGCCAGGGGAACTCTATGGTGGCCATTTTGGTGCTCATTTTCTATCTGGTTGCATGCTACTTCCGTTGGATAGATTGTTGTTCAAGTGTCAAATGTGATGTGAAATGAAAGTCTCGACCACCTGTGGTTACTGAATTATCAGTTGTCTTTTTTTTTCCCACAAAAAGTGTACTCTTATCTCAGCCAAACTCTCTTTTGAATCTTTAAGTTCTTCTTGAGTTGAGTGAATAGTTTTGTGTAACTGTAGTGTAGCTGCGTCTCACAATTGATTTTAAAAATATAAATATTTATATTAACAATACAATATTTTATTAAAAAATAATTGGAGTTGCCCATTCTACAGATAGCTGAATTTTAAATGAAATGAAATGTAAAGAACTATCCAGAATATGTCCTCATGTCAATCAACATGATTACTATGCTTGTGTGTAATTTTTTAACATTTAAACATCTATTTGTTTTGGAAATATGATGTTATAATATATTTTAGTATCTCATTTATTTTTTATATTGATAACATTTTCCTGGAATTGTCAAAGAACTCTGGGTATATAATGTATGGA